GGAGTCCCAGGATCGAGTCCCGCATCAGACTCCCTGCTCAGCGGGGAGTCTGCTTCTCCCTCTGACCTTCCCCCCTCTCATGTACTCTCTCTCTCTCATTCTCTCTCTCAAATAAATAAAATCTTTAAAAAAAAAAAAAGAAAAGAAAATCCCCCCAAAATTATAGACAAACTATTAGAATCAATATGTGAATTTAACATCCAAGATGGATGAAAGGTCAAAAATCAATTATATTTCCATATATTTGCAACATACAAGGAGAAAATGAACTTTAAGTAACAATACTATTTATGAGAGTATCAAAAACCATCAAATACCTAGAAATGAATCTAAGAGATATGAAAGACTTCTACACTGAAAATTATAACACATTTTTGAAATGAATTAAAGAAGATACAGATAAATGGATGGATCTACTGTGTTCGTGGATTGGAAGATGCAATATTGTGAAGATACAAATTGTCTCCAATGGACCTACAAATTTAATGCAAACTCAATCAAAATCACAAAAGGCGACCTTGTGGGGTTTAGCAAAATAATTCTAAAATATATATAGAAATACAAAGATCTCTAAGAACAGCCAAGATAATGTTGAAGAAGAACAAAGTTAAAGGAATTTCCTGACCAGATATTTAAACCTACTAAAAAGCTATGATAATTAAGATATTACAGTAGTGGTAAAAGAAGAGACAATGGAACAGAATAGAGTCCAGACATAGAATCCATACATACAGTCACCTGGTATCACAAAGGTAACAGTGCAGTGCAGTGGGGAAATAATGGTCTCTTTGATAAATGATGCTGAGTCAATTGGGTATCCAGATTGGAGAAAAAAAAAAATGTACCTTGACCTCTACCTTTATACAATGGACTTCAAAAACGTACCTTGACCTCTACCTTCATACAATTATACGGCAATGAAACTACAACTATATGCAACATATGGATGAATTTCATAAATAATACTGAATAAAATAAGTTCAGACACAAAATGAGCACCTACTATATGATTCCACTTAAATACAATTCAAAAACATATGATGTAAGAAGTCAGGATAGTGATTACCCTTAAGGGAAAGGTAGTGATAGGAAGGGGCTTGAGGAGAATATTGGGAGGCTGGTAACATTCTGCTGTTGATCCAGGTACTGGTCACACTTTATGAAAATTCATCAAGCTATACATTTATGATTCTTGTTGTATGTTAGATTCAATTTAAAAAAGTCCAAAAAATCAAGGCAGATAGAAGATGAGAGTGGAAAGATACAATGAAATGAAGAGAGAAATTAATACATAAAAATAAAAATATATGCTTAAGACCCTAGATATCTGGTAGGAGTGGGGCACAAGTGTGTCTCTGAGCTTCCTTGCAGCCACGATAAACACAACAACACAATCAATTAAATGATTCTGTGTTCATAAGATAAAAACAAGTCAGTTGTGCTCAGAAAGAACATAATTATTCTGAGAAAAATTTCTCCTGAAGGTTCTCAAAGATCGATGTTGTGTAGCACAGTGAACAACCTATCTTCTCAACCTCATCCTAACCTCATCCTCATCCACTGTCAAAATGACCTTCTCCATAGGCTGATGCCATAAAACCAAAGAATAATTCAAAGGGAGTAATTTGGGGTCAAAGAGTAGGATGGGGAGAGAAAAACACTGCAATGCAGGTGTGCCACTTGGGTGGTGTAGATGTACAGGAATAAACGGTCTACATATCCTCCAGAATATCACTCATAAATAGTATTTTTATTTCCATTAAACCAAGCTTTTGATAAGCATTGCCTGGCAGTGAGTTCAAAGTCACATTCTCTAGGACAGGTACCTGGAGTCCAGCTATTATATATTGTCAATAAAATGGGGGGAGGGGCACTTGGGTGGCTCAGTCAGTTAAGCGTCCAACTCTTGGTTTCAGCTCAGGTCATGATCTCAAGGTCGTGAGATGAAGCCCCACATCGGGCTCCACACTGGGCGTGGAACCTGCTTAAGATTCACTCTCCCTCCCCCTTCTCCCCTACCTCTCTAAAAAAGAAAGAAAGAAAGAAGTTTAGACAGTCATTAAGCCATTATATTGTGGTGACTCTACATGATATTTTGCTTATATTGAATTTCTGAAACTGGTATGTTAGCACATACCTCTGCCTCTTCCCCACAAAAATAATGGTGGCGAGGAACAGGAGATACAGCCATTCGTTGGACTAGTTAGTGAAACTGGGGGTAGGACTGATAGCCTCTGAAAGACTGTCAAAGAAAGTCAATATGCAGAGTAAGTATTAAATTATTATTCATGTCTCTTTCATAAATAAAAGATCCGTTCTCCCCAGTGCATGTTCTAAGCAAGATATTCTACAACCTACCCTTTACACTCATAGATAACATAGCTACCCTCCTCAAAAATTTCAGTGGCTCCTCATGCCTACTAACTTCAAAGTTATTAGCAGGGATATTAAGTCCTTTACACAAGCCTAATCCTGCCTTTCCAGTCTCATCTGTTATCTCTCCCTACACACCCTGGGAATCAACCACACCTCACCACTCAATGTTTTCCCAATGTGCCATATGGTCTCAGACCTCCTCTTGTCTTTGCTTATGTTCTTCAGATTTGGTATTTTCTCACAGGGAAAGAAGAAATCAGGTGTTCAGAGTTTGTGGCAATGCCCTCTTGTGGCTGTCACCTCACTGTCCCAGAAGAGTGATTCTTGCTTTCTGTAAGTTCACCCTCAGCCTCCATGTCACAGGACTGAGCCCTAAATGAAAATGTCCTTGTGTAAGCATGTATGTGGGGTTAGTGAATCACTTACCCTACAATATGGCTCCTTCTTCTTTATATCCTCCTGTTGGATTAGCCTCAGGCCCTGCACACCATTCTGCAGGCCTCTCTCATATAGGGCTTGAAGTCTGGGAATTTCTTCTTGTTCAACAGCTACTATAAGCTTAAAACAAAAACAAAAACAAGATAAAGAATATGGAGAGTTAAACATATGATCAGCTATAAAACATAAAGTCAATAAAAAATTAAATTATCACATGATTCAAATTTGTTTAATTTTTGTCTACTTCTCCCTTTCTTCATGAACTCAATTTCCTCCTCCATTGAAAAAAGTTGTCTTAGGAAACTGCATTAAAACAATTTTCCCCAAAAGTAAGATGTAGCCTCAATTTCCACTTCTGCCATCATAGGTGCTCCATGAATCTTGGCCACAGCAACTGTTATCAACATTACTCCCTCAATTCCAAAGGGGAGAGTAGCACAGGTGGCATAGTCTTTACAATTAAAAGAATAAAAAACAAAAAAGCAAACAAAAAAACAGAACAGCCTTCTTATTTCTATAAGAGTATATAAAATACCAATATATCAAAAAGACAGTGGCATTCAGTATAATGGAGTATCACTAACAGAACACTATCCATTTTATTTCCTGGAATAAAGTATATTATAAACTATTTACTAATGCATTTTATTGCAGAGGGGAAAAAAACAGTAAATTAATCAACTTTACTCAGTATTCTTTTTCTATTTATTTCTGGGCAAACTATCTGTCTGAGGTAGTTTCTTAACAGCTACTGACAAAGAAAAGCACAGATGCACATTCACAGGTACATTAGAATTCACAGGCACATTAGAATTCAGATTGCTATTTCATAGCAAGAAGTCACCAGAATTTCATGAAATAATACTTTTAATCAAGGTGTAAAGGTCATTTAAGTCTGCAAATAATTAACCTTAGAAATAGAAGTGGAATCAAGGAACGCTATCTAGAAAGTGAAAAGACAACCCAAGGAACAGGTGAAAATATTCACAAATCATATAGCTGATAATGTCTAATATCCAGAATATATAAAAGAACCCTTATAATTCAATATAAAAAGTGTAAATACAATTTTATATCTTGCTTTTTTCACTTAACACTATGTTGGGACCATTATCCCACATTATTTTAAAAAATCGTCATAGCATCGGGCGCCTCGGTGGCTCAGATGGTTTAGTGTCTGCCTTTGGCTCAGGTCATGATCCCAGGGTTCTGGCATCGAGTCCCGCATCGGGCTCCCTGCTCCTTGGGAGGCTGCTTCTCCCTGTGCCTCTCTCTCTCTCTCTCTCTCTCTCTCTCATGAATAAATACATAAAATCTTTAAAAAAAAAATCTTCGTAGCATCTTTAATAGCAACAAGAAACTTTTATTCTTAAAAACTACATGGAGAAGACTTACAAGGAAATATTATGAATAACTGTATAGCAACAAATTAGATAATCTATATGAAATGGAAAAGCTCATAGAAAAACACAAACTTCTGAAACTGACTCAAGAAGAAAAAAAAAATCTGACTAGGCCTATAACAAGTAAAGAGATTGGATTAGTAACTTTAAAACTACCCACAAAGAAAAGCTCAGGCTCAAAAGCTTTCTTTACACATGAATGATGCCATATGGGTGGCTCAGTTAAGCGTCTGCCTTTGGCTTGGGTCATGACCCCATGGGATCGAGCCCTGCATTGGGCTCCCTGATTGGCAGGGAGGCTGCTTCTCCCTCTCCCTCTACTGTTCCCCTTGCTGTGCTCTCTCGCTCTGTCAAATAAATAAATAAAATCTTAAAAAAAAAAAAAAGAAAAATTAGCTACAATTCTGCATAAACTCCTTCAAAGAACAGAAGAGGGAATACTTCTTAGGGAATACCTAAATCTATGAGGCCAGTATTAGCCTGATATTCAAAACAAACACAGTTACAAAAGAAAATAAAACTGCAGACCAATATCCCATATGAATATTGATACAAAAATCCTGAACACAATACTAGTAAACTAAGTACAGGAACATATAAAAAAGATGCGACCAAGTGGGATTTATTGTAGGAATTCAAGATCAATTTAACATCCAAAAGTCAAGTATTAATACACCGTATTAATAGAATATAAAAACATGATTGCCTCAATAGAAGCAGAAAAGGCATTTGAGAAAACCCAATACCCTTTCGTGATAAAAAACATGTAACAAACTTGGGAGCGCCTGGATGGTTCAGTTGGTAGAACATGTGACTCTTGATCACGGGGTTGTGGGTTCGAGCCCCATGCTGGGTGTAGAGATTACTTAAAAATAAAAATCTTGGATGGGGTGGCTGGGTGATAGACATTAGGGAGGGTATGTGCTATGGTGAGCGCTGTGAATTGTGTAAGACTGATGAATAACAGACCTGTACCTCTGAAACAAATAATACATTATATGTTAAAAAAAAAAAAAAGGAAGATAGTAGGAAGGGAAAAATGAAGGGGGGGAAATCGGAGGGGGAGATGTACCATGAAAGACTATGGACTCTGAGAAACAAACTGAGGGTTCTAGAGGGGAGGGGGTTGGGGGGATGGGTTAGCCTGGTGATGGGTATTAAAGAGGGCATGTATTTTTTTTTTTTTAAAGATTTTATTTATTTATTTGAGAGAGAGAGAATGAGAGATAGAGAGCACGAGAGGGAAGAGGGTCAGAGGGAGGAGCAGACTCCCTGCCGAGCAGGGAGCCCGATGTGGGACTCGATCCCGGGACTCCGGGATCATGACCTGAGCCGAAGGCAGTCGCTTAACCAACTGAGCCACCCAGGCGCCCAAAGAGGGCATGTATTGAATGGAGCACTGGGTGTTATATGCAAACAAGGAATCATGGAACATTACATCAAAAAATTAATTAATTAATTAATTTAAAAAATAAAAAAATAAAAATCTTAGAATAAAAAAGACTTTAGCAATAGAAAGGAACTTCCTCAATCTGACAAAGGGCATCTATAAAAAAGCTACAGCTAGCATCATACTTAATAGTGAAAAATTGAATGCTTTCTCCCTAAGATAAGCAACAATACAAGGATGTCCATTTTCACTACTTCTATTCAACACTGTATTTATGGGGCGCCTGGGTGGCTCAGTCGTTAAGCATCTGCCTTCAGCTCAGGTCATGATCCCAGGGTCCTGGGATTGATCCCCGCATCGAACCCCGCATCGGGCTCCTGCTCAGCGGGAAGCCTGCTTCTCCCTCTCCCAGTACCCCTGCTTGTGTTCCCTCTCTCACTCTGTCAAATAAATAAATAAAATCTTTAAAAACAGAAACAAAAACAAAAACAAAAACACTGTATTTGTGATTCTACCTGGGGAAATTAGGCAAGAAAAAAATATATAAAAGGCATCCAAGGGGCACCTGGGTGGCTCAGTCATTAAGCATCTGCCTTCGGCTCAGGTCATGATCTCAGGGTCCTGGGATCGAGCCCTGCATCTGGCTCCCTGCTCAACGGGAAGCCTGCTTCTCCCTCTCCCACTCCTCCAGCTTGTGTTCCCTCTCTCGCTGTGTCTCTTTCTGTCAAATTAATAAATAAAATCTTTAAAAGGCATCCAAATTGAAAAAGGAGTACAACTATCTTACTTGCAGATGACATTATCCTGCATATAGAAAATCCTAAGGAATCCACACACACACAAAAAACTATTATAATGAGTTTAGCAAGGGTGCAAGAGAAAAGGATATATGAAAATCAATCATATTCTATATATTAGCAATGAATAATCCAAAATGAAATTAAGAAAAAATTCCCCTCACAAAAGCATCAAAAAGAGTAAAACACCAAGGAATAAGTTTAACAAAAAATTGCAAGACCTGTATACTGAAAAATACAAAACACTGTCGAAAGAAATGGAAGAAGATCTAAAAGAATGGGAAGACATTCCCATGTTCATGGTTTGCAAGATTTAATATTGTTAAGACGGCAATACTCCCCAAATTGATCTATAGATTCAACATAATCTCTATCAAACTTCCACCTTTTTTTTTTTTGAGAAACTGACTAACCAACCCTAAAATTCATATGGAAATGCAAGGGACCCAGAATAGCCAAAATAATCCTGAAAAAAGGACAAAGTTGGAGGACTCACACTTCCTGATTTCAACATATAATAAACAGCCATAGTAACCAAGATACTATGGTATTGGCATGAGGATAGACATACATCAATGGAATGGAATCAAGAATCCTAAACATACCCTCTTACATTTATGCTCAAATAACTTTTTTTAAAAGATTCATTTATTTATTTGAGAGAGAGAGCATGGCAGGAGGAGCAGAGGGAAAGGTAGACTCAACTAGACTGCTCACTGAGCACGGAGCCTGAGATCTCAGCCTGAGATCACCACCTGAACTGAAACCAAGAGTCGGACACTTAATCAACTGCACCACCCAGACACCCTCAACTAACTTTTGATAAAGGTGCCAAAACTATATAGAAAGAACAGTTTTTTCAATAAATGGTGTTGAGACAACTGCATAGCCACATGCAAAAGAATGAAGTTGAGCCCCTTCCTCACACTATATACCAAAATCAATTTAAAACTGATCATATACTGGAAGTATAGGTGCAGGGGGTGGGGTTGGGGGGCTCTGCTTCTGGTGGCAGGGTCTAGGGAAGAAACAGTAGACCAGTAGACTAGTGAAGGTGGAAAGCCCCTGAAATAGCCAAAGAAGCAGGCCAAGGAAATGAACTAGGAAGATAAGGCATTTAAGCAGAAACAAACAGAGAAGACACTCAAGGGGCTAAAAGTGAAAGCTACAGGAAAGGATCTTCTGGCCATAGTTGGAATTAAGAAATCTGGCAAAAAATAAGCTGCTCCTTGTGCCTGAGGCAATGGTGATCCTTAATTCCAAAATTCCTGTTTACACATCTAGATTATCTGTCATATCTGTTGCCACCTACAGCTAGAATAAAGTGTCCTCTTGGACCCTGTTGTACATTTACGAATACATTTTTGTAAAAAAAAAAAAATGTATTGTATAGTGGCTCATCTTCTCTTTAGTTCTTCTCACTCAGCCATTTCTACCTTAGCTCTGAGTCAGAGCAAACCCAGCCTAGAATCCTGCCAAAGTCTACCCATTAATCTTTGATCTACCCCAATTCTGTACCACCTGGAATTAAAGCAACTCATTGGGGTGGGGGGGGAGGCTGTGATCATAGATCTAAATGTCAGAGCTAAGGTTAAAATAAAACTCTTAGAAGAAAAAAATGTATGAGTAATTTTTCAGGTTAGGCAATGATTTCTGAGATATGACACTAAAACTATAAGCAACAAAAGAAAAAAAGATAACTGGACTTCATCAAAATTAAAAGCTTCTGTGCTTCAAAATATATCATCAAGAAAGTAAAAAAGAAAATCTATAGAATAGGAGAAAATATTTAGCATTATTTAAAATATTAGTATTACTATTATTACTATTTTGTTTTATACATAAAAATATTTTAATATTTTAGTAGTGTTTTAGTAAATATCATATAACTGATAAGGGGCTATACCCAGAATATATAAAGAACACATACAACTCAAGAATAGAGACAAATAATCCAATTTTTAAATGGGCAAAAGAATTGAATAGACATTTTTCCAAAGACAAATGAGTGGCCAATAAGCTATGAAAAGATGCTCAACACCATTAATTACTAGGGAAATGCAAATCAAAACCACATTGACCTACCACTTCACATCCACTAGGATGGCTAAAATAAGAGACAGACAGTAACAGGTATTGACAAGGATGTAGAGATACTGGAATCCTCATTAGTTGCTGATAGCCATTTAAAATAGTGCAGAACTTTGAAAAACAGTTTGGCAGTTCCTCAAAATGTTAAAATTGGAGTTAACAAATGACCCAGGAATTTCACTCCTAGGTATATATCTGAGAGAAATGAAAACATAAGCCTACACAAAAACTTGCACATAAACACCCATAGCTGTATGATGCATAATAGTCAAATGTGGAAACAACCCAGATGTCTGTCAACTGATAAAGAGGTAAACAAAATGTGGTATTCCTACACAATGGACTATAAAAAGGAATAAAGTACTGATTCATGCCACAAGATGAATGAACCTTGAGAACATTATGCTAAGAACCCAGTCACAAAAGACAACATATTATAGGATTCTATTTACAGGAAATGTCCAGAATAGGCAAATCCACAGAGAGAGAAAGTATATTAGCGGTTGTCAGAGCTGGGGAGAGGCAGAAATAGGAAGTGAGAGGTATTGGGAATAACTGTTAACAGGCAGAGGGCTTCTTTATTAGGTGATGAATATGTTCTAAAATTAGACAGTGGTAATAGTTGCACAGTTTTATGAATATACTAAAAATCGAACTGAACACTTTAATAAAAGGATGAATTGTATGATATATAAATTATATGTCAATAAATCTGTTACTTTTTAAATTACAAGGAGTGAGTCATACCACCTTTTCTAGTTATTTCCTAATATTAGATTTTGAAAATTACATAAAGAAAGAAAAGCAGTTTTTTTTTAACTCAACATTAAACATCACTAAGAAAATGCTAGTTATAAGTAAGTCAAGGCCCTAGCAAAATGCTTACCTTGCCACATTGTTTGTAGGAAATTCCCTTTTGGTTACAATACTCATAGATGAGGGCTGCACCTTGCACACACAATTTAGCTTTCAGAGATTCAGGTTTATAATAAATTCCACTATGTATGACACCACTGTTATGTCCAGTCTGGTGAACAGCTACCGGACAAGAGAAAGAGGGTAAGAGTAACTACACAATGCATACAAAACCTACAAAGTGGAGGAACAGACATAGTTGAAGCCATTAGAGACCACATTATTGAACATTCTGTCTGAGTTCGTTCTTACAGGCAGGGCACCAGTAACTTCCTCTACTAGCCATCCCTGGTGTCCATGCCACATCCCCCCAGCCCATCTTTGATTTCAGTTTCAGTTTTCAACTCTGGTGCACAAATCCATCTCTCACCACCAGCAAACCACTTCAAGGGCTCACTATAGCTCTGGGCATTCTGCATGCCCATTCCTAACAAGTGGAGGAGTGAGGGGAGAGAAGACTATGCCTCAACATCCCAGGGGTAATCATCAGCCAGTGGAAACATGAGCTGATGAATAAATGAGCACAATACTTAGAAATGATGATGTAGCTCCTCAGAGGCCCCAGAGGAATCAAGCTCACAACAGCAACCATGATAAAGTACCCTCCTGTGGCTTTTCCTCCTTCCTGGTTTACTCTCCACATCCCCTCACTCCTGCCTCCTA